AGATTTTAAATTACGTCCAAAAAGGCGGTTTTTTTTTTTTTTTTTTTTCCCAACGTTTTGTGTGTTACCTTTATTTATTAAATATCATGTTCTTCGCACTTAAACCATAAAATTCAGTTCAAGAGCAATATCGCAAAATAATTTTAAAATGAGCATATCTTTAGAATTTTCGATTCATAGTCTCGCGTGCTGGAGATAAAAATGTCTGCTCTGTACAACGTTGCCATTGCTCGCTTTGAAATCCTTGAGTTTGTTAATCACAAATTCGTTAAAGTTTTACAAAATATGAAATCGATAATAAAACAAATTCCAAATTTCAAATTTGGGCTCCCAGATGCCTATATTCGCAGGAGGATTACTTTATTCAAAATTTGATAGCTCTAGGTACCGTTGTTTTATCACAATGCGAGAAACACACATACATTTATGAAGATTCTTCATTGTTTAATTTCTTTAAATATAATACAGGGCGATAATATTTGGTGGCAACAATCTGAAAACTGAAACTACGCCTGTAATGAATCAACGCAAAATGCCACAATAAAATTAATAGTCTTCGCAAATTGCCCATTTCTTTCGCGTATTTTTTACTGCGTAGCAATTTCATTTTCTGTCGCTGTCTTGTTGCTGGTGAATTTTATATATCTCAATTATACTTGTGCCTGTAAGTGGGATTTATATGCTATTATTACATAATTCAGAAAATACGTGATCCATCCACTTTATTATCAGAAAATAATATTGACATTAAAATTTAACTTTCTTAAAATGCCGAATGTTAAAGGTACATTTTGAAAGCTACAGGAGATAATATATATATATATATATTGCTGAATACTTTAGCTGAAATATCTGCCTACAGGCACGCTTTTATTTGGGAGTTGGGATCTTAGCTGTATTTTTGATTGTGTAATAGCGTCAAATCATTTTCAGTCATCATGCTGTAATTTGGTGAATTAATTATATATTTTATATAAATTATGCTTACATCAGCTGTTAAAATTTATTCACTAGTATCATATTTATTCAGAAAATAAGTACTTTGTCCACTTAATAATAAGAAGACCATTTAAAAAAACATTTGCATTAAAACATGATTTTCTCAAACAATGATTTTTCACTATTGCGAGCATGTTTTAAAAATCGTTAATTATGAATACTTAAAGTCTAATGGACTTATTTATGTAGGTATTTTCTTTAAACTGAGCTAAAATCGAATCAAAATTTGAACATTAAAAAATTTATTATTGAAAATATTTGACATTTTTTAGTAAAACGATTTTCGTAAATTTAATTAAAAAAACAGAATGACAAATTACTCATAAAATTCTTAGATTTAAGTTCAGATTAGTTTTCAAATATCACGGAAGTTACATAATAAATATGGAATTAAAGAGATCAACAGAAAATTTTAAGTTATGCGCGCAATGGGGAAATCTGACGTGAATGAATAAAATCTTATTCTAAAAACCAGACTAAATTATAAAAACATCTGCCGCAAAACCGATGTTATGGCTATTAATTCTCCAAGTAGTTACTTTGTACAAGATATAGAAAAGGAAGTAACTGCCTTCGAAACAAGTAAGTTATATTCACTCTTACAACAGTAACATATTCAAAGACACTGAGATTTTTAACTTATAGGATAAAAATCATACTAAGCAATGACATCTTTTTAGACCCTCAGAAAACATGCTTGTCACTAAATTAGGAGTCAAATTTTTAAAATATTGAATAATGAGAAACATTTTTTATTTTTACTAATTTCGTTTCTGCTGTTCGGTGAAAAATGCAGAGTCAATTAAACATAATAATTTTAATATGTGTTATTAAAAAAAGAACTGACATAGAAGTGAAATAAAGTGCGCTTCTAAGATTTTTTAGAATATTAAAATTATTTGTAATAGCAAAAACAGAAGCCTAAAAATAAGTTTCCTCAAATGTCAATTCTGATGATGTTGGTCATGGTGCTGCCATCTAGTGATGAGTTTGGAAGTATTTTTCAATCACAATCTGTAATCGGGTATACAACTTATCGAATATCGTACAGATCCCAAGGTCGACGTATTAAAAATGCCCTGATATATTTCGAAGTATGCTTCTAAGAAAAACTGTTCATTTATGCGTGTGTTAAAGCGTCATAGATGGTCTCTATGTCCGAGACATGGAGGAATGAACGTATTTGAATACAACAATTCATTTTAAGTTAAAATATCAGAAAGATAAACAGATAGAAAACGTATATTGTTTAGAACCTCATTCCAGAAAATGTTCAATGCTTTTAAAACCTTTTATGAGGTGAATTTAAGGTCTTGATATTAAGTTTGTTTACATGTATAGGAATATGCACTATTATAGATGGAACGATAATTAGACTAGTTTGTTTCCAGAGATTACTAATGCATTCACTAACAGATTATAAAGAGCAGAGTGTAAAATCATATAAAAATTTTGCCTTGTGATAAGCTTTATTAGAAAAACTGAACTGCGAAAACGAAATTGTAAACGATTTTGTTGGCGAAACTATATTATCACTTTAAAAAAAAAAAAAAAAACCACCTCACATATGTCGGCTTCGAGAAACGCTGTATTTTTGTGAAAGAGTTTTCTTAGGGAAAAAAATTAATTGGCTTGAATAATTCTTTCACAAAATACACCTATGTATTTCCGTTTAAGATACAGATGCAAATTTTTATAAAAAAGGCCTAAACAGATAACAAAACTGAGGTAAGATAAAAGCGATTGCTTTCTTTGATAGCTGTATTTTTAATAATTATAAAACTGATCCTTCCTTTCATGCGTTCTCAAACAGAATGCGAGTATTCATTTCAGGAAAATTAGTAATGCAACATAAAAAAAATCTCTTTTGACACAATTAATTAATTCATCAACTAATGCAAGATGAGCGAAATCCAGTTAAACGAATGGAACGAACAATAGGATTAATTGCAATTAAATTATTTGCTACAGTAATTCTGAGAAAAGTTATATTAGTATAAAATCATTAAAGTTACTAAAAATAGGTTGCTTATATTTTTATTTAGTAGCTAAACTATTGCTTGTTTTCTTCTTTTCAAGCAGTCTGCGACAGTTATATCAAGATTTCGATAGACTTCGCAGCGTTGTTTCATGTCAGGATCAGCATCATAGAAAACTTCCACAGAGTGCTGAGATGTGATTGACAGCTAATTCAGTTTTCTTTGGTAATTAGCTTCTTAGTTTCTGATTTAGTTTCAGGCTTGAAATAAGTTAACAGATTCCCCCCCCATCTTAATGAGTCTCTACTTTCTGAAAATACTGACTATCCTATTTTATTTAAATTATTGATACGAGAATTTTCCATTAATTAAATGGTATTAAATCTTAATAAAAAATTTGCATATTCGTAGATTTTATAATTAGTCTTCTTTCACTAATTCATTAATCTGTTAAAGCAAATTAGCTTATGCAGCTGGAGTGACGAGTATATTCCTAATTTTTATTCATAATCACCGATGCAAGAGGATTCAGTATAAAAAGCCAAAAATATTTATATGAAACGTCGGTGAGTCCCTTCTTCCTCCAGAATGATGAAAGACAGCAAATTTTAGACCAATATAAAATTTTCAGTAGGAGAGGACAATTAAAAACTTTTTTTTTTTAAGAATTAAATGCATTAAATTATCTTTACCAATCTCATAAAAATACAATTATATTGTAAGGATTATGTTAATTTTATTAACAGTTAAATTTTGAGTTAAAGTTCCTTTCCTGTTGATTCTTAACTTCAACTTACTGCTTCCGGCCAGAACGTAGTTTTAGAATTACGTCTGAATACATAATGAGGAAGAGCGGTATTTAACCGCGAAGTTCTTCAGTCTTAGTGAGAGAGATACCAGGTATTCTGGCTGCACGCGTCCGCCTTTTTAGGCTATTCTCTCATAAGCTGTTATTACGCTCCCGTACTTTAGGCCAGCGTTTCCCAACCTTTTTTGGCCAAGGCACACTTGTCGCGGGGAAAAAAATCACGAGGCACACCACCATTAGAAAATGTTAAAAAATTAAATCTGTGCCTATATTGACTATAATAAAGTAATTCTCTTGAATAGGAATCAAATAAGCACAAAGAAAGTATTTTATAATTACTTTATTATGAAATATTAAGTAAACAGAATAGTGAAAAATTATAAAATACTTTCAGTGCGAAACCTGGGCCTGTTTGGCTGAACACAAAGCTGATATTCTGGCTGGAATCGAAGAAAGACACACACGTAGCTCTTCGTCAACAGTTCTCAGTCTCTCTCTGTATTTGGTTTTCATAGCAATCATGCTTGAAAAGCTAATCTCACACAGATCTGTAGTGGAAAAAGGGAGCAATGTCAAAAAAGCTTTGTTTGCCAGAAGGGGGAACTCCTTGGCAGTATCCAACCAAAAACTGTCCAAAGGTAGATCAGCAAATCTTAGCTTGCAACCACGATTTTGTCTTAGTTCAATTAGTTCCTCCTGCTCCTGTAAAGTCATTTCCTTTCCAACAACTGATGCTGAGCTATAAGGGTCCCTAACCCAGTCAAGGCATTCAGTGGAGACTGAAGAGAAATAAAATGACAACTTTTCCTCAAGAGTTTTTAAATGCTTAACTATTATCTCACACAGTGCAGCAGTGTGAACACCTTGCCATTGCATGGTGAGTGTGAACATTTCAAGATTGCCACTTTCCACGTGTTGATGCCAGAGTTGCACCTTTGAACGAATCCATTTATTTTATCTGTACTTGTAAGCAGGTTTTCATTTCGGCCTTGCATTCGGGTGTTCAATTCATTCAGATGATGAAATATATCTGCCAGGTATGCCAGCCTTGCACACCACTCATCACTTGCAAGCTGCTTTGCGTAATCTGACCCCTCATTTGTCAGAAACACTTTAAGTTCCTCCCGCAGCTCATACACACGAACCAAGACCTTGCCACGCGACAACCACCGGACCTCAGTATGAAACAGCAAGGTTTTATGCTTTGCTCCGATCTACTCACACAAAGCTGCAAATATGCGACTTTTCATGGGTCGTGACTTTACAATGTTTACCATACGCACAACATCATCCAACACATGAACTAAGGCTGATGGTAAAGTCTTGGCTACGAGGGCCTCGCGGTGTAAAAAACAATGCGTAATAATCACATCTGGATTTCTTTCCTTCACTCTGCTTACAAAGCCTTTGGTGCGCCCGACCATGGCTGCAGCTCCATCGGTGCAGACACTTGTGCAGTTTTCCCACTTAAGTCCTCCTTGTTCAAGGTATTCTGATGTGACCCGAAAAAATTCTTCTCCTGTTGTTTTTTTCTGGCAATACCTTGCAAAGAAAGAAGTAGAAGTTTTCTCTAATTGCATCACCATCAACAAAACGCACATTAGCTAAGAGTTTGAGCATGTCCACTGATATCAGTAGACTCGTCAAGTTGCAATGCAAATTTCTCACTGATACGGATCTTTTCCAAAACCACACTTTCGATGTCTGCAGACATGTCATTAATACGTCTGGAAATTGTGTTTGTTTGAGAGAGAGGGACTTTGGCTATTTCCGTTGCTGCTTCAGGTCCGAGCATCTCCTCTACAATAGCTTTGCAGGCAGGAAGTATTAATGTCTCTGCCACAGTGTGCGACTTTTTTGTCTTGGCTATAAGTTCAGCAACTTGATAACTAGCTTTAAGAGCTCTTTCATTTACCTTTGTTGTTTTTCTCATAAAAGTTGCCTGTT